GTGTACCAGAGGAAAAAAAAAAAAAAAAAAAAAAAAAAAAAAAGATAAGTAGAGTGGTTTGGAAAACGTCTGTGGCTCCCCAAAACCTGTTTAACGGGTAGCTTAAAGACTTCATTTACTTTAATTAAGTCCATAAATTATATGTACATTAATCTTTTAGTACTATCACTTGATCCTGGCCTCTCTGTAGTGTTCATTCTAACAGCAGTGTTCCTGCCCTGTCCAAATACATGACAGCATCACATTTACCTCCATCCTCAATACAGAAATCAACCAAGTCTGGAACTCAAATGTGTAAAACCAGATCCCTGCAGTGGCACTCAGTGCAGTGCTGAAAAAATGCAGCCTTAATGTGTGTACTCATGCAGAGCAGCAGTCCCATTACACCTCATTATACCAAAATTATTGGCCAGGTGGTATGAGGGACCTGTTCCCCCTTTCACCTCCTCTGCGCAAACCACACAGCAGCCAGGACAGCAGCTTAAAGTCAGTTTTTATTTGAGAAGGTTCCAGGAGTCTTTGGGTCGGTTCTAGAGGACATGGAGGAGGTTTCATGGGCCTGGAGAAAGTATTTGCAGCCCTTGAGGAGATTGTAGATTCCATTTGGGAGTCTTAGGGATTGTGAAGAAGTTTCTTTGAGTCATTGAGGAGGTTTTGGGGGTTCTTATTGAATGTTTCGTAGAGCTGGGGTCCTAGACAAAGTTCCAGGGGCCATGTGGTTCTGGATCAGGTTCAAAAGCCTTTTTATAAGGTCCCTGGGTCTTTGCCCATGTTTCAAGGGTCATGGAGGATGTCAGGATGACCTCTGATTGGCTGAACCTTCATGACTGGATTGATGGGTGTAAGAAAAACAAGGAGGCCTGCGAGGGGTTTTTCTTTTTATTGTCTTACAGGCAGCAGCTGGGTGAAGAGAGCTCACTCTGGCTGAACAATAAGGACCCGCGGCACAATCACGCCACCTGACCCGTTCACCTCCACCACCCGTCAGCCCAACAGGGAGGAAAAGGAGTGGGTAAGGAGAGAGGGAGTCAGCCCAGATGATGACTGAGGATGAGGGAAAAGCAGCAAGGGGTGGTCTGGGCTCCATTTTGATGAAACGCAGCACCTTTACCACAGAAAACGTCAGAGTATCACACCTGCTCTGCATCCCAACCACTGGCTCTATAAAAGATGGACAGTCTGACAGTTCCCAGAAGTGAATCCAGTGAGGGTTGATCGCCCCCTGGTGGCTGGCTGCAGTACAAGTCATATCCTGCCTCCTCCATGTTAGTGGAAGGGACATGAGCCAAAGTAAAAACTCAAAGTACAAAATAGATACATTTTCCCAGAGATGATTTCTGATGTGCGTAGTAGATACTATCATGCTGATGTGTGTACAAGTGGTCATCTTTGTGGTTGTTCAGGTTGATATAAAAAGGGGGCGTATTTAGGATGATGACAGCTTTTGATTGGCGGTCCGACACATCACTCAGCTACTGCACAGAATATGGCTGCTAAATGCCAAGATGGCGACCGTATGAGCTAAGATGATCCATTTGTCTGATGAGAGATTGCTTACAGGCTGACGTCTGAGTGGCTTGTTTGACCTTCAGCAACAACAACTACATTATTTCACTATTCTGTTTCTACAGAAACATGATCATAATTATGACTGGTATTCTGTTTATTACTACACTCACACCAAAGGCAGGCTTGGAGTTTAAATGAAATAAAACGTTTAGCCCTACCTCAAATGTCTGTTTTAGTGCTGCATATGCTACCAGACAGTTTCTAAAGCGATCAGTCTGGATAAATGAATTTGGAGTTTAAAGCAGGACTAAAGAATAACTACCTGCACACTGTGACTAATGGTGTTTCCATCTTCAGAGGAGTCATGTTCACACTGTCAAACCATAAAAGAAGAATTAACTGTATGTGCACGTTTCCTGTTTTCATGTACCTGTAAAGTGCTGCTTTAATGTTTCATCATGTTCCGTCGCACATAAACCATGCTGACAGACGGAGAGTCAGACCTGGTGGATGGACAGAGGAGTCATAAAGCAGGAGCCTGAGGGGCCTCGATGCTCAGCCCGCCTCTGTCTATGGGGCCGTGCAATTACAGTAATAGTGTGGAGGCTGCCAGAGCCGAGCGCGGAGCTGTGATCCCGGCTGTGTGCTGATGAAGGTGATGGTGCTGAATACAGAGTGTGGAGGAGATGAGATGCAGTGGCCTGAATCCTAACAGACGCTCAGCAAAGGAGGAGGAAGAGATACCGAGTCCCTCATACATAAAATCCCACAAAAATAGCTGTTCTCCACATTTATCAATTTTACTGCCAGTAATATGTGCCTAACAGTCAGAAAAATGACAAACTGCTAATAAAAATCAATTACTTTGTGATGTGTTGCTGCAGTGTCAGCCAGGAATAAACCCTAATCTTCAGATTTGTGAACAGTGCTTCCTCTCTGTCTCTCTTTAAATGACACTAAATAAAAGTACACTGACAAGGCATGGATATCAGACAATGATGTAGAAGCTACATGATGACGTTCACAAACTGAGCCTTAAGAGCCTGCTGGCTCGGCCACTACCACGATTCACGAGTCGCGTTGGGAAAACAGCACAGACTAGTTTTCTGCTTCATTCACTACACAAGATAACTGAAAAGCTGAGCACTGCGATGAACGGCTTCATAAATCTGTACATAAAACTGCAACAAGCCACCAGCACATAAAGAAGAAAACACTCAGGAAATTAGCTTCATCCTGAGCCAGTGGAGTAGCACCAGGGGGAAATAACTGACCCAACATGGGACAAGAGTCACAGCCTCTCATCTGCAGAGGTGGAAGAAGTCAAAGTAGCAAAACCACAGGGTAAAAATACTCCACTCTGAGTGAAAGCACTTGCTTCTTTCAATGTACCTGGAGTACCCAAAGTAAAAGTAGTTTGTCCCTTTCAGTGATTATATTCAGAGGTGTTCCGAATATTCGGACCCTCTCGTGTATGTAGCCGGGGAGGACACCTCTGAATATAATGCCATCCATGACAACACCACCTTTAACTATGACCTCGATAATAAACATAGAATTGAATTTATACAGTTCTAACAATTTCACCAAAAACTGAAACATGGTGAGCTTCATAAATATAGATGTTAAGGTGGAAGTGCTGCATTGAAGTGCATACAGTTGTACAGGTGTATCTAATAAAGTGGCCATGAGTGTGTATGCTGCAGGTTGCATTGATTTTAACTATTTAAATATCCTATATTTGTAGAATCACTGTTCTGAGAGAATCACATATTCCATGAAGCATTTTTTAAGACTTTATTTGGCGTGAGACGTTTTACTCCAGCAATGTCATAAAGCATCAGGACTTGTAAGCAACAGATTAAAAAGCATGGTCAAATCTGTACAGCAGAGGTGGAGTAATCTTGACTTTTAGTCCAAAAACACTGGATCCTACATTTCCCATAATGCAACTGGATCATGGCTTTCATTGGGTGCCCACTGCCGCACATTTCAAACATCACACTGAACCACAGAAGACATGGCAAAGCTAATTAGGATTGACAATCACAAAAGAACTGGCGGAATGCCCCTTTATAGAAACAAAGCTGGGGGTGAGATGGCCCCTCGCTCTCTAAAGGTGTTGTGTTGTCAGCAGGTTTACCTGAGAAGGAGGCAACTCTCCAGCTTTCCTGCTGCTGAACGGGCAGACTCCGGCAGCCGCCACTCTGCTGCTTGGCTGGAGGTTAATGGGGGACGTCTGCAGCGCCTCCAGGCTCGCCGCTTTCTGTCCATTAATGTGTGCAGTAACCATAGAAACGGGAGCCTTGGCCGGCACCACAGATATGGCGATGCTTTGGCTGGGAGGCTTGATGAGAGGCAGTGGCTTGGGCGTCCCTACAGGACAAGTTCTGACTGCCAGCTTCTGTAGGGAGACGGGCAGAGACAGAGACAGGTGTGCCATTAGAGAGAGAGAGGGAGACGGGTGTGCTGTTAGAGGGAAACGGGCAGAGATAGAGACAAGTGTGGCATCAGAAAGAGAGGGGGAGAGAGGGAGACGGATGTGCCGTTAGAGAGAGGGGGGAGACGGGTGTGCTGTTAGAGGGAAACGGGCAGAGATAGAGACAAGTGTGGCATCAGAAAGAGAGGGGGAGAGAGGGAGACAGGTGTGCCGTTAGAGAGAGAGAGGGAGACGGGTGTGCTGTTAGAGGGAAACGGGCAGAGATAGAGACAAGTGTGGCATCAGAAAGAGAGGGGGAGAGAGGGAGACAGGTGTGCCGTTAGAGAGAGAGAGGGAGACGGGTGTGCTGTTAGAGGGAAACGGGCAGAGATAGAGACAAGTGTGGCATCAGAAAGAGAGGGGGAGAGAGGGAGACAGGTGTGCCGTTAGAGAGAGAGAGGGAGACGGGTGTGCTGTTAGAGGGAAACGGGCAGAGATAGAGACAGGTGTGCTGTCAAAGAGAGAGGGGGAGAGAGGGAGGAGGGTGCGCCGTTAGAGAGAGAGAGAGAGAGAGAGAGAGAGAGGGAAAAGGGCAGAGATAGAGACAGGTGTGCCATTAGAGAGAGAGC